CAACTCAAAAAAAAAAAAAAAAAAAAAAGAATTATTTAGAGGCTGGATATGGTGGCTCAAGGCAAGAAGATTGTCTGAGCCCAGGGGTCTTGACCAACTTGGACAACTTGGTGAGACCTTGTTTCTATAGTAAATCAAAAAATTAGCCAGGCGTCGTGGTGCACTACTGTAGTTCCAGCTACTTGGAAGGCTGAGGTGGAAGAATCACCTGAGCCCATGAGGTCGAGGCTGTGGTGGTTGTGAGTGTGCCACTGCACTCCAGCCTGGGCGACAGTGAGACTCCAACTCAAAAATCAATAAAAAAAAAAATTATTTTAGTTGCCCAAGCTGGTCTTCAACTAGTGGGCTCAGGCGATCCTCTCACCTCAGCCTCCCAAAGTGCTGGGATTATAGGTGTGAGCCACCATGCCCCATCGAATTCCTATAAATCGTTTAATGAAAAAATATTGAACAGTTGATGGAACAACAAATATCTAAACTCTTTGAAGAAAGAGAAAGAAACCACCTATAATTGTCTTCCCCAGCACCTCTTCATTTTTACATATTGTTTTCATGTTGTTGGAATGTGGAGTACACGGGGTGGGGAGCATTTGTTAAGATCTGTGAGAGTTATCCCGCAGCTGGTCAGAGTCACCCTTGCTGGGCAGTGGACCAACTGAGGTTTGGATAGGAGGGGTTGGCTTGGGATGTCCATCTGGTTTTGAGATGGCTTTGGACTGATCGAAAAGTGATTAGAACTGGATGTATGTCAGGTCCTTGGCGAAGGGGTTACTGGTCTGTGTACAGGCTGGGTGAAAGAGGTAAGCACAGGCCCATACAGGGAAGGATTGACTGGGTACTAAGCAGAGGTGCTGAGGTGGTCTTCAGGGTGGCTGTTGGAGATCCAAAATGGAACATTTGTTTCCTAATGTACTGTCAGGGAAAGCAGGAAGAGGTATGATAGCCAAAGACACCGGGGTGTGGAGGGACATGAGTCCATATGGGTTGGTTGATTAAGAGGGCATACACATGCCCCCGAGGAGCTCATGGGCCCACGCTGGTGGAACTCAGCCTCTGAGGGGAGGAACCCCAGCCTCTCCCATCCCAGCCACTGCCAAAGACAGTGAGCGTGAACCCTGTGAACTCGAGGGTTTGGTCTTCCCAGACAGCAAGAAGCCTTCCTTCTGGTTAGCCATTGTGTGTATCTGCAGGGTTCCTGGACACTGGCCCAGTGGCTTATCTCCTCCTCTGCACCTTCTGGGGCACCGAGTTAGCATGATTACAGGTGCAGGTTGTGTTAGAGGCTGTTTGGAGGGGGATTAAGCCAGAATCTCATAGGACTACTGGATAGTCACTGTGCAGTCAGCCAGAGGAGGCAAAAAAAGCTCTGGTTTCAGACTCAGACAGATGTGGGTTGTGATTCTGGCTCAGTCACCCTCTAGCTGTGTGCCCTTGGGCAAGCTACATAGCCCTTCTGAGCCTGCACAATGGGCTAGGCTGTGCCAGGCATCATCCTCAGCACTTCCTGTGTATTAACTCACTGAAGTTTCACAGTAGCCTAATGAGGCAGAGATATTATTGTTTCCATTTTACAGATGAGGACATGCAGGCATGGGGTGGGGGCAGGGATCATAAATAACCTGGTCCAGGTCATATAAGTTCCTGGCACATGGAAGATGCTCAGTAGTATGCAAGCACTTTCCCCCTAGCTGGGACACAATTTGGGAATGCTAGAGTAGCAGCTAGTCGAACCTGCTGTTTTATAGGTGAAGAGACTAGGCTGGGCTAGGTGGCTCAGCCTGTAATCCCAGCACTTTGGGAGGCCGAGGCGAGTGGATTACCTGAGCCCGCGGGTTCGAGACCAGCCCGGGCAACTTGGTAAGACCTCGTCTCTACAATAAATAAAAAAATTAGCCAGGCATGGTAGCGTGAGCCTGTAGTTCTGGCTACTTGGAAGGCTGAGGTGGCAGGATCGCCGGAGCCCAGCAGGTCGACGCTGGGGTGGCCATGAGCATGCCACTACAATCTATCCTGGGCAACAGAGTGAGACTCTAACTCAAAAAAAAAAAAAAAAAAAAAAAGAGTGACTAAGGCCCTGAGAAGCTGAAACATTTGTCACAATTAACCTAATCAGCTGAGGTCAGGTTGGAGCTAGAACCCGGGTCCTTTTCCTCCTTACTCCCACGCTTCCCATTTCTGTCAGTGTTCCCTGGAAAGAAACGGGTTGAGAGGGGGCAGGACCTGGGAGAGGGCGGCTGGCCATGAGGAGTCATTCGGCTTTTGGTAGGCAGGCCTTTTGGGTGGAGAGGGCAGAGCCAGGGGCAGACCCCTGAAAGGCTGACTTCCTTATGCTTTCCCCACTGTGCCCAGGAGTATCTGAAGGGACTGTGCAGCCCGGAGCTGTGGAAGGAAGTTCGCTACCCGCCGATCCTGCACTGTGCCTTCCTCGGGGCCCAGGGCCTCTTCTTGGACTGCCTCTGCTGGAGCACCCTGGCCTACCTGGTGCCCGGCCCCCCTGGCTCCCTGATGGTGGGTGGGCTGACTGAGTCTTTCGTCATGACCCAGAACTGGTTGGAGGAGCTGGTGGGACGGCTGCGCTGGGGCCCTGCTCCTCTGCTGACCCCTCGGGGGATCTGGGAGGCTGAGGTGACCCGGGCTTTTGGGGCCCTGGTCTGGATCCGTGGTGACCAGCATGCAGGCGACCTGCTGCAGCTGCCCCCAGCAGTCCAGGAGCTGTTGCTGAGCCTGGTGCGGGATGCCGCGGGTAAGGAGGACATCATCCAGTGGCTGAGCCGCTTCGGCATCTCTAACACCCACTCCAACCCGGAGGTCCTGATCTGCCCTCCACAGCAGAAGAAGGAGGGCTCAGCCGTGGTGTCCATGGGAGAGAGTCCTGGGCACTTTCTGGATGTGGGGACCCCCAAGAATGGGGGCCTAGACAAATCAAAGAGAATAAGCAGCGTAGGAGCCACCAGGGCCCTGGTCCCAGCCCAGAGCACACAGCAGGAGACGGCAGCCCAGCTGGTACGGTAAGTGCTGGATGATGAGTCTGACTTCTCTGACCCTACCCCTGCTCCCTCACCCCAAGGAAATAGTAGTATTTCGGGATCAAACTGGCCTTTCCACCTTCTCAATGAACTTGGGCTTCCTCCAGGGTCGTTTCCAACAACCAAGGTGGTACGGACAGTGCTCGGGAGGAAGGGCCGGTGCAAGCCACCAGCAGCCAGGACTCTGCGAACCACACGAAAGCTTTGTTGCAGCAAAGACAGGTCCAGAGAGTAGAAGATAAATCCTCCTTCCAACCTCCGGTATCAGCCCTGGGTGTATGCCCACCCTGGAAGGCCTGGACCCCAGGACAAGCCTTTGGGCCCTTGTGGCCAGGGGCTATTGCTGCAACCTTCTGGAGGATCAATGAGCTGCATTCTCTCCACCTGGCCTGGCTCTTGTCCCAGGCGTACTTCAATTTCCCCTTCTGGCAGAGGCCGCTGGGCCCCATTCAGTTAAAGCTGCCAGGGCAGAATCCTTTGCCCTTAAATCTAGAGTGGAAGCAGAAGGAGCTGGCTCCTCTACCCTGTGCAGAAAGCCCAGCTTGTAGACCTGATGGGGGGCTGGGAAGAGAGGCAGCCCTACAGAGTTGCCTGAGGACAGAGACTCCCCCCAAAGTCATGAGTTTACTGGTAGTCCCTGGGGGCTCGGGTGTAAAGGGCAAAGTTAGCCCAGGACTTCCACAGATAGGGCCACCCTTGACCTCTACATCCCAACTACAAACCGGAGGTGAGCCAGGAGATCAAGGAGGTATGCAGTTGGATTGTAAGGGGCTGGAAGAGGGACCCTCTCCAACACTGCCCATGGGGGAAGAGATGCCCGTAGCTCAAGAGAAGCCCATGACTCAAGGGGAGCTAACAGCTTGGTCCGTACCTGAAGCTCAAACAGTGCCTGAAACTTTCAAAGTGCCCGTGGCAGCAGCTGTGCCCAAAGCTGAAAACCCGTCCAGAACTCAAGTGCTGCCTGCAGCTCCTGAAGTGCCTACAGTCCAAAGGATGCCGGCAGTGCACGCAGAGCCTGCAGCTCCCCAAGTGCCTTCCGCTCCAGCAAAGCCAGCAGCTCAAGGGGTGGCCACAGCTCAAAAAGCAGCCACGGGTCAACTGGCATCGACGACTCAAGTGGTGCCCACAACTCCAAAAACTCCCATGGCTCAGAGGATGCCAGTAGCCAAAACATCACCTGCAAGTCCCAAAACACCAAAATCTCAAACTGGGCTTGCAGCTGAAACAGAGTCTGCAGCTCCCAAACTCTCCAGAGCTCCCAAAACTCCTGCAGCTCGGAAGGAGTCCACAGATGCAGGGCTGACCTTGGATGTAGCCAAACTTCTGAGCGAGGTCCAGCCTTTGGCAAGGGGTAGTGCTTCCCTACCGAAGGGCCGTGGGGAGGCTGGGAAGCAGGGTCCCCAGCCCAACAGCACCTCAGCCCTCAGCGGTAAACACCCATCTCAAGTGGAGGGGCTCCTGGGGCCTTGGGAGGGGGCCCCGAGGCAGCCGCCTCGCCACCTACAGGCGAACAGTACAGTGACCAGCTTCCAGAGATACCATGAGGCTCTGAATACACCCTTCGAGCTGAACCTGTCGGGGGAACCTGGGAACCAGGAGTTGCGGCGAGTGGTCATTGATGGCAGCAGCGTGGCCATGGTGTAAGTAGCCATGGGTGTGGGGTGGGCTGCTGGGGAGGGGAGGCAGGTGTCCCTGGGGGCTGGAGCATGGGCGTTTCTTCCTGACCTTCATATGGGTGATGTGGGGGAAAGATGGGAGGGAAGTGGCCCCTGTGGAGTGGCTCTTGCATGCCAGGCCGTGTGCATGGAATCCTCACAGCAGCCTCAGGGATAGGTGTCTAGTTGCCCTCTTTGATAGATGCAGAAAAGGCTCAAAGGTGAGGAGTCTTATTTTTTTTTTTAAATAAAGATGTGGGGTACAATTCAGGGTTAGGTATACAAACATTGATTATGCAGGTACCCTTGTTGATGAGGTATGCCCCTCCCTCCCCTGGCAGTTTCCCTCAACTGCCAATCCTACCCCCCAGAGGTGAGGAGTCTTGCCCAACGTCCCTGAGCCAGTAAGGAACCCAGCCGGCCTTTAGGTTCAGGCCTGTCCACTGCCAAGGCCCAGGCTCTTCCCATGCCAGCTTTTAAACTCTTAACCTAAACTTTTTTTTTTTTTGAGTTGGAGTCTTACTCTGTCACCCAGACTGGAGTGCAGTGGCCGCTCCTGGCCACCGTGGCCTCAACCTGCTGGGCTCTGGCGATCCTTGCGCCTCAGCCTTCCAAGTAGCTGGAACTACAGGCATGTGCTACCACGCCCAACTGATTTTTTGATTTATTGTAGAGATGAGGTCTCGCTGCCCAGGCGAGTCTTGAACCTGCGGGCTCAGGCAATCCACTCACCTCAGCCTCCTAAAGGCGCGGGATTACAGGCTGAGCCACTGAGCCCAGCATTAACCTAAACTTTAAGGCCTAGCACAGATCTCCTCTGTGAAGCTTTTCCTGACTGTTCTGGTCCCTAGAGTTGGCCCTTCCCACGCAGTACTTACTGCTGTTGAGATGTTAGTGTAAATATTGCCAAGACATCTTTTTTTGGGGCATGGTGGCTAACGCCTGTAATCCTAGCAGTTTGGGAGGTGGAGGCAAGAGGCTTGCCCGAGTCCAGGGGTTTGAGACCAGCCTAGGCAACTTGGTGAGACTTCATCTCTTCAATAAATAAATAAACTAGCCAAGGTGGTGGCGCATGCCTATGGTTCCAGCTACTTGGAAGGCTGAGTCAGAAGGATCACCTGAGCCCAGCAGGTCAGTGCTTTAGTGGCCATGATTGTGCCACTGCACTCCAGCCTGGGCGACAGAGTGAGATTCCTACTAAAAAAATAAAATTAATTATTATTATTATATTTGAGTTGGAGTCTCACTCTGTCATCCTGATTGGAGTATAGTGGCACACTCATGGGCACCCCAGCGTCAACCTGCTGGATTCTGGCGATTCTTCTGCCTCAGCCTTCCAAGTAGCCTCAGTTACAGGCATGCACTACTGTGCCCGGCTAATTTTTTTTTTTTTTTAATTTGTTGTAGAGATGAGGTCTCGTCAATTTCCCCGGGCTGGTTTTGAACCTGCGGGCTTAGGCAATCCATTCGCCTCGGCCTCCCAAAGTGTTGGGATTACAGGCTGAGCCACTGAGCTCAGCCAAAAAATTAATTTAAAAAGTATTTTTTTGTAGAGAGAGGGTCTTACTATGTTGCCTAGGCTGATTTTGAACTCCTGGACTCAAGCAATCCTCCTGCCCAGCCTCCCATAGTGTTGCGGTTACAGGTGTGAGCCACTGTACCTGGCCAGTGCAAGACTGCTTAATTTGCCATATGGCAGAGTAGTTATCCATGCTAAACACACTCCTAGCACACAGTAGGTGGCCAGTGAAGTTTTGTTTGCTTTAAGCTATCAACTGAGTTATTTGAGTGTCTGTCTTCCTCTTGCCCTTGCTGCCCCTACATACATGTGCGCCCACACATATTATCTGGTTGTGTCCTGCACCCAGTAGGTGCTCACAGAGTGTCTGAGGATGGGGAGGGGGGAAGAAGATCATCCACCACTGGTGTCCTTGATGCTGGAGCTGGTCTCCTGCTTGCTACTCCTGGGCTGGGTCTGAGGGAGGAGTGGTGAGGCAAGGCCTTTCCTAGTTCCCCCACCCTACAGGCATGGCCTCCAGCACTTCTTCTCCTGCCGAGGCATTGCCATGGCAGTACAGTTTTTCTGGAACCGGGGACACCGAGAGGTCACTGTGTTTGTACCCACCTGGCAGCTGAAGAAGAACCGGAGGGTGAGAGGTGAGGTGTACCCTGCTTGCTCAGTGCCACCCCCGCCCCCCGGCTCCACCAGACTTTCTTCTCTCTGCCTTATTATCCCCACTCTCCACCACCCCAGTGTGCCCGTTTCCACTTAGCCCTGACTCTGACCATCTCTGTTTTCTGCCTTTCACCGCCAGAGAGCCACTTTCTGACGAAGCTACACTCGCTCAAGATGCTTTCAATCACCCCCTCCCAGCTTGAGAACGGCAAGAAGATCACCACCTACGATTATAGGTGTGCCAGTCCCCAGGCCTGCCCTCCATGGGGCTCGGGGGGTTGGGTCCAGCTGGTGTGTCAGGTGGAGTCTTGCCTTGTGTTCTCTGGGAAAATGGAGACAAATGTGTCAGGGCATCATGGCAGAAAGGGTGGGTGAGGCATGAGTCCTCTGTTGGCAGAAGGAGGGACACAGTGAGAAGGCTCAAGGTTGGCTCTACCCAAACCCAGGGGCCACTCCTGACTTTGGGACACTGAAGCACCATTTGTCTTAGTATCAGGCTTTCCTCCTCTGATACTACTTTGAATTTTACTAGCCCAAGTGACTCCTAGTGCTTTGAATGAGCATAAGAGGCATGCTCTGGGTGCCGGGAACTGTTTTTGGGTGCCAGGAACTGCTTCCGTCTTTTCCTCCTACCAACCCCAGCACTGCGGGGAGGTGTGTGTGTGGCTGACTTTGGTAGAGTCCCGGGCAGGGCTCTGGAAATGGAGAGGGCTGGTCTACCTAATCCCCAAATGCCCGTCTGCTTGTCAATCCTAAGCACCCACTCCCTGGCAGGATCGTAGGGCCAGTGTGCATGGGGGGAGCCTGTGACCCTGCCTTTCTTAGTGCAGCAAAGACCCTGTCACAGTCACTGGTCCTGGGCTGGAGCTGATGCTGTGCAGACAGAGGTCATGGTTTCACTTAGGCACCTTTTATGCAGGGCAGGGAGAAGTTCAGTTTCTCCCACTTTTCCCAAGATCTGGCACCCACTCAATCTTCAGGCCTGGGAAAGGCTGGGCAGGGCAGCTCTGGCTTCCCTCCTTGCAGAGCTAGCTCCCTGGTTAACGTCTTCTGTGCCTCTAAATTCGGGCCTGGGTTTGAGGGAAGATGGCTCTTCTGCAGAGGGCCCTCTGTTGGGCACTGGTGGAATAGCATGCCTGGGATAACCGGAATGGAAATCTACAGGGAAACTGAGAAGTAGGTAGCTTTTGCTTTCTTTCCTGGTCACAGCCCTCTTTAGAGGAGAGGTGATCCTTGGGAAAATGGATTTGTTTATTCAGGTACGTGTTTTTGTGTGCTAGCATATATTTGTATGTGTGTCTTGGCATGAATATGAATGTTGCGCATTGGTGAATTATAATGGAATACCTGTGTGTATGCTGTATGCGGGCAGCGAGCTAGACACAAATGCATTCGCTCATTCAGTTTAATCCTCACAGCAATATGGGGTAGGTATTTTAGCTCTGTTTTACAGATGCAAAAACTGAAGCAGTAAATATGCATGCATGAATGTGGACAAGTATGTAGGTTTCTGTGTCTGTGCATGTGTCTGCCTCTGTGTATAGTAGGGGGTGTATGTTTGTATATATAGTTGGGGGTGTGTGCATCCAATTTCACCCTCCCCAGGGGGCAATTAGTGATCCAGACGGCTACCTAGAAGAGGGGATAGGCTCCGGGGTCCTGTTTTTATCTGATACTCTTTAATATAAAGTTGCAAGATCATTTTCCCAGAGGACCCAGGAAGTGAGGGGGCTGGTTACTTGATTGTAAGTGATACCCCTCTCCCTGCAGGTTCATGGTCAAACTGGCAGAGGAGACAGATGGCATCATTGTCACCAATGAGCAGATTCACACTCTGATGAATAATTCCAAGAAACTGATGGTCAAAGATCGGTAAGGTGGCTAGAGACTTGAGCGACTCCTTCCTTTTAGGTATCAGGCAGCCCTTGGCAGGGGAGAGGTTGGGCAGGGAGAGAGGCATTGGAATAGTGCTCACCAGCAGCTGCTGGGAGATGTGGGTCTCTCAGCTCCATGGAGACACCAGATGGCAACAGGATGTGGGTGGTCAAGGGCTTGTCTGTGACTGTGCCTCTTCTCTCCCTGTCCAGCTTGCTGCCTTTCACCTTTGCGGGGAATCTCTTCATGGTACCAGATGACCCCCTGGGCCGTGATGGCCCTACCTTGGATGAGTTTCTGAAGAAGCCAAACAGGTAATAAGTCAGGCCTCCCCAGCATTCCAGGTCATCCTGGGACTGACCAGAAACTTCCCCTTAGTATTGGCCACCATTTATCTAGTGCTTAATAATAAGTACAGTGATATGATTTTTTTTACATGTCTTTATACTTGCACATGTTTATGTGTCCATAAACCACTTCCAGTAGTGTTTTGCAATTTTAACATTTTACATAAATGCTATCTGTCATCTATCTATCTGTCTATCTCTATCATCTATTATCTCCTTCCACAACTGGCATTTGTACCCAACATTTTATTAGTTTTTTCAGATGTCTGCCATACTGATTCATGTTGTTCCCTTTAATGGTCATGTGGTATTCCATTATGTGAATACCCAACGGATTTATCCATTCTCTTGTTGAGGACCATTTGGCTCATTCCATTTTGTGCTTGTTGTGCCAAGGTTGCAGTGAACAGCCTCATTCTTGTGTCTTTATTTTATTTTTATTTATTTATTGAGTTGGAATCTCACTCTGTTGCCCAGGCTGGAGTGCAGTGGCATGCTCGTGGCTACTGCAACCTTGGCCTGCTGGGCTCAGATGATCTTTCTACTTCCGCCTTCCAAGTAGCTGAAACTACAGGCATGTGCCATATTTTTCGGCTTATTGTAGAGACGGGGTCTTGCCAAGACGGGGACCCTCCCAAAGTGCTGGGATCACAGGAGTGAGCCACCTGCCTGACCCATTTTTGTATCTTTGTGTCCAAGGGGAACTATGTCTAGAGTATACACTCAGCAGGATTTTTTTCCCATGTTTATCACCTCATTTAATTCTCATGCCTTAAGTTCAACATAATTACCACTATCCTCTTATAAATGAGGAGACGTCCATCTTGAGCTTTGAGGTTTGCGCTGCTCATCTTCCACCACCGGGGCTGTCAGCCTCACCTCACCCGTTGTTGGGGCCTGGTAGGGTGTGGCCTCGGTGGAGGAAGAGGAATCTAAGACACAAGTGACTTTTCCCAGGTCACTTTGCTGGTGCCAGCAGAAATGGTTTGCAGTAACTCAAACCCTCTGGCCATTAGCCGCGCTGAGCCACCTTGCTGCTCACCTGCCAGTTCCTGGGCCCAGCAGGGGACCATGGTTGGGACCTTCTGACCAGGGCAACTGCTTCCCCTGGCCAGGTCCCTCAATCTCATCTCACCAGTTTGGGAAAAAGTGATACGGACGAGGTCTGTGAGCCATGTCCTCCCAAGCCCCTTGTTAGGCTCTCTCCTCTTTGGTGAGGTTGCTCAATCTAGGTCAGGTTGGAAGCCTCCAGGTATCTTTTATCAAACTGTTGACCCAAAGCTGGTTTAATTGTTACTTGGTCATTGAGGTTTTGATTTGGTGAGCCTTCAAAGTCCAGATGGATCTCTACTTTTGCGGTCTGGCACGTGTAGGAGGTAGAGGAAGCGTTTGTGGGCAGGGGCCTCACTGCCCCTATGCTGCGCAGGAGTTTGGCACTTGGCCCAGCCTCAGGACCCTTAGCATCAAGATTTCGACAAGACATGGGTTTCTTCTTGAATGGCCTCTTGGGGCGGGGCTGCCCCCTCCCTCTTCCGTCTGTTTTGGTGTAGGTTGGACACCGACATTGGCAACTTCCTAAAGGTGTGGAAGACCCTTCCTCCCAGCTCAGCCTGCATCTCGGAGTTAAATGACGAGGTTGACGTTGGGCCCCCGGAGTGTTCAAAGAATGTGGCAGAAATCAGGGAGCAGAAGGAGGAGAGGCAGGATGAGGTGCACAGAGGGGGGCAGGACATGTGGAAGCTGGCCGAAGAGGACAACCTCGACGCTTCTCTGGCATCAGTGTTCAGAGTAGAGTGTCCTTCCCTTTCCGAGGAGATCCTCCGGTGCCTCAGCCTCCATGACCCTCCTGACGGGGCCCTGGACATCGATCTCCTGCCAGGGGCGGCTTCTCCCTACTTGGGCATCCCCTGGGATGGGAAGGCTCCCTGCCAACAGGTTCTGGCCCACCTGGCCCAGCTAACCATCCCCAGCAACTTCACCGCGCTCTCCTTCTTCGTGGGGTTCATGGACTCCCACCAGGATGTCATCCCCGACTACGAAGCCCTTGTGGGCCCCCTGCACAGCCTCCTCAAGCAGAAGCCGGACTGGCAGTGGGACCGGGAGCATGAGAAGGCCTTCCTGGCCTTGAAGCGGGCCCTGGTGTCCGCCCTCTGCCTGACGGCCCCCAACTCCCAGCTGCCCTTCCTCCTGGAGGTGACAGTGAGCCAGGTGGCGCTGACGGCCATCCTGCATCAGGAGCACTCAGAGAGGAAGCACCCCATAGCCTATACCTCAAAACCCCTCCTCCCCGACGAGGAGAGCGAGGGCCCCCAGTCAGGGGGAGACAGCCCCTACGCCGTGGCCTGGGCCCTCAAGCATTTTTCACGCTGCATCGGAGACACCCCGGTGGTCCTAGACCTCTCGTATGCCTCCCGGACCACCGTGGACCCTGAGGCTCCGGAGGGCCGCCGGGTTTCCAAAGCCTGGTTGATCCGATGGTCCCTCTTGGTACAGGACAAAGGCAAAAGGGCCCTGGAATTGAGCCTCCTCCAGGGCCTGCTGGGGGAAAACCGACTGCTGACGCCTGCCTCCTCGATGCCTCGATTCTTCCAGGTTCTGCCTCCTTTCTCTGACCTGTCCATGTTTGTCTGTATCCACATGTCGGGCTATTGCTTCTACCGCGAGGATGAGTGGTGTGCTGGCTTTGGTCTCTATGTTCTGTCTCCCACCAGCCCCCCTGTCTCTCTCTCCTTCTCCTGCTCTCCTTACACGCCGACCTACGCCCACCTGGCAGCCGTGGCCTGCGGCCTGGAGCGCTTTGGCCAGTCTCACCTCCCAGTGGTGTTTCTCACCCACTGCAACTGGATCTTCAGCCTCCTCTGGGAGCTGCTGCCCCTCTGGAGGGCTCGGGGCTTCCGCTCCTCCGATAGGGCTCCACTACCTCACCCGAGCCTGCTCTCCTACATTATATCCCTCACCTCCGACCTCTCCTCCCTTCCGTTTATCTACCGAACCTCCTACCGGGGCTCTCTGTTTGCTGTGACAGTGGACACCCTGGCCAAGCAGGGTGCCCAGGGGGGCGGGCAGTGGTGGAGTTTGCCCAAGGAGGTGCCAGTCCCTGTAGTGACTCCCCATACCATGGGCAAGAGGCCCAACTTGCTGGCATTACAGCTGGGCGACAGCACCCTGGCTGAGATCATTGCCAAGCTGCAGGCTGGGCAGAAGCTATCTGGCTCCTCCCCCTTTAGTTCTGCCTTTAACTCCCTCAGCCTAGACAAGGAGAGTGGCCTGCTTATGTTCAAGGGCGATAAGAAGCCCCGGGTCTGGGTGGTCCCCACGCAACTCCGGAGGGATCTGATTTTCTCTGTGCATGACATCCCCTTGGGAGCCCACCAGAGGCCCGAGGAGACGTACAAGAAACTGCGGCTGCTGGGGTGGTGGCCCGGGATGCAGGAGCATGTGCGAGATTACTGCAGGAGCTGTTTGTTCTGCATTCCCCGGAACCTCATAGGCAGCGAGATGAAGGTTATCGAGTCTCCGTGGCCCCTCAGGTCGACCGCCCCCTGGTCGAACCTGCAGCTCGAGGTGGTGGGCCCGGTCACCATAAGCGAGGAGGGCCACAAGCACGTGCTGATTGTGGCTGACCCTAACACCAGGTGGGTGGAGGCGTTCCCCCTGAAGCCCTACACGCACATGGCTGTGGCCCAGGTGCTGCTTCAGCATGTCTTTGCAAGGTGGGGCGTTCCTGTGAGGCTGGAGGCAGCCCAGGGCCCGCAGTTTGCCCGGCACGTCCTGGTGAGCTGCGGGCTGGCTCTGGGGGCCCAGGTGGTCTCCTTGAGTAGGGACCTCCAGTTCCCCTGCCTGACAAGCTCAGGGGCATACTGGGAATTCAAGAGGGCCCTCAAGGAGTTCATCTTCTTGCATGGCAAGAAATGGGCAGCCTCCCTGCCCCTGCTGCACCTGGCCTTCAGGGCCTCCTCCGCCGAGGCCACACCCGTCCAGGTCCTGACCGGGGGCGAGGTGAGGCTGACTAAGCCCCTGTGGTGGGAGATGAGCAGTGCAAACATCGAAGGGCTCAAGATGGATGTCTTCCTGCTGCGGCTGGTGGGGGAGCTGCTGGAGCTTCACTGGAGGGCAGCGGACAAGGCAGGTGAGAAGGCTGAGAATCGGCGCTTCAGGCAGGAGAGCCAGGAGAAGGAATGGAATGTGGGCGACCAGGTCCTCTTGCTGTCCCTCCCCAGGAACGGCAGCAGTGCCAAATGGGTGGGTCCCTTCTACATCGGGGACCGGCTGAGCCTGTCTCTCTATAGAGTGTGGGGCTTCCCAACCCCAGAGAAGCTGGGGTGCATCTATCCCAGCAGTATGATGAAGGCGTTTGCCAAGAGCGGCACCCCCCTGTCTTTCAAGGTCTTGGAGCAGTGAGCAGGAGCAGCGGGGGAGCCCCCTGCCCCAGGGGTCCTGGGTTGCTGCTGCTAGGCCTCCCCCTGCCCCAGCAGTGCTCTCAGCCCCTTGGGGGGGCTCAGTTGTGCCTTTTGTAGAGAAGTTGCTTCATAAAAGACTTTGCTGAATTGCCTTGAACTGAGGACCAGCATCTCTATGGAAACATTCCCAATTTGGGGTACTTGGAGAATCTGCCAAAGGCTGTCAGATACGAGCCTCTGGCAGTTTGACACTGGGAGTAGAGTCCCTCTGCTAAGGTAGGCCAAGCTCAGTGTCTTTTCCCCAAGTATCTTCTTTCCCCCTTTGCACACATGCAGGTGTGTGGTGGCCTGTGTATACACACACACGGCACACGCATGCAGGCATACATCACAGACTCACTGTCTTAACCATGAAACTGTGGCTCTGGACCTAGATTGGAACCACAGTCCTCCCCAGACAGAAATCTTGAACATGGGCTCCTCTCTCCAACCTGTTCACTTGGGGACCCTTTGCCCTTAGAGTTGTCACAGCTGACACAACCCGTGCAGGCCGTGGGGAGGCGGCTGGCTCCCCAGCCCCCTGGTCAGCTTTCTTAAGCCAGGTGCGGCCTGTACAGCTGTCACAGAAGGGCTGGCCATCCTCCTGGGCCTCGAGGGTGGTGGCTTGGAGGGGAGGATGGTCAGCCATGAGCCTCTCACTAGTCAGCACAGGAAGGGCAAGTGGGAAGTGGGTGGGCCTACCTCATTGGACTCCAGCCAGTGGAGACAACTCCTGACCCCTGCTTTGATGGCGTCAGCCCCACAGGAATCAAGGATCTTGATGCCAAGTGTGGCATCTCTACCTGCAGAGCTGCTTCTACTAGACCTAGGGGCCCTGGCCTCTGTTTCTGCTGAGGATGGGGGGAGGGGGGAGGTTCTGGAACGAGAGTCTGGCACACAGCGAGGGACGGGTGTGGCTTTACCTCCCTATCCTTTTAAGCCCGCAGCCCTCCATGCCTCCCACCTCCACTGTACCCTGCATCCCAGACCCTACAGAGTGTGTGGTGGCTTTGCCTGGATCACCCCTCAGTCCTATGGACCTGCCTTCTGTGTTGTGTAAAACCCAGGCTCCTTCATAGCCATTCTCTGCAAAGATCACCTTGTCATGACAGTGGGTTCCTTGTGAGTATGTGTGCCCGCACACACCCCTCTGAATTGCTGCTGCTGCTGCTGCCTTACAGGTGGGCTCCAGGTGCAGGCTGGCACGATGTTGCCCTTCTGAGTAGTTTCATTTTTGAGCTTCGAGTAGTTTCGTTTCCGCAGAGGTTGAGCCAGTCTCCTGGGCCAGCTCAGTTTGCCAGAATGCTTGGCTTTGCAGAGTGCTAGCGCCAGAGAACTTGCCGTGGAGTTTAACATGCTTGTCTTAAAGCAGAGGAAAGAGGCCCGTGGAGGGGAAGTGACTTGCCCAAAGTCACAAGGCTAGTTTGTGGCTGAGTTGGGGCCAGGATTAAGCTTCCTGGCTTTTAGTACACCATGAAGAGGGTTCTGGCAGCAGGTTCAAGCTGGAAAAGCAATCCTTCGAAATCCTATATTCACATTCTCCTCAACTCCCCAGTTCCCTAATCTTATAGACACACTCCCTGGATGTTGCCCTTAAGCCATTTCCAGCTGTTAACCCCGCCCAGGAAAGAATGGTTGGGTGAGAGCTGAGAAACAAAGGTGAGCTGTGGGTATTTAGCAGATACTCTTTCCTCCTTGCTCCTACCCTTTCTCTTTCTCTTTCTCTTCCTCCTCCCCTATAAGAACCTCACCCTCCCTCCATGGTGTTGTATGCATTCCCCCTGTTAACCACATTATGGTTTTATAAGTAATTTTTTTTTCATTTGATTTGTCAATAAACAGATCAAACTGGAGGCACTGTCCAGTTCTTTTTTTAGTCTCAGACTCGATTATGGGAGTGAGGAGGGTGGGGAGCAGTTGTGGTTTACGGCTACTGTATGTTTCCTAGGAGGATACACAGATTTGAAGGCCTAGATAGCACCTTTTTGAAATCGTCTGGCCCAAGATCTTATTGTACAGAAGAGAGATCAGGGCCCAGATTGTGATATGCTAAGGCCTCACAGCTGGTTCATGGCAGAGCTTGAAGGAAAGCCCAGCTCTGGACTTCTAAGCTGGTGCCCTTTCCAGTCATGTCTTGGAAGTTGGCAGGGTAGGAATGAAAATGAATGAATGAATGAATGACATCTGGCTCAAGAGAATGGCATTAATACTGAACCAGCTTAGTTGTATCGGAAACACGATAGACCCTGGTTTGGATGCCGAGTCTATATTTGCTACCTATGCAGTCTGTTTCCAGAGGTCTCAGTTTCCCCATCTGTAAAATGCAGAGCAAAAATTCCTAAACTATGAGGTGGATTGAGGAGTACATGAAATAAGTTGTGTAAAGAGGCTAGTGTGGTGCCAGGACGGAATAAGCATTATTGTACACTAGCTAACATTACTCTTCTTTCTGCTCTGGGAATCCTTCCTGTTATCACCCCTTCTGCTTAAGAGCTCTTCTTTTTTTTTTTTTTTTGAGTTGGAGTCTCACTGTTGCCTAGACTGGAGTGCAGTAGCACGCTCCTGGCCACTGTAGCTTCGACTTGCTGGGCTCCAGCGATCCTTCTGCCTCAGCCTTCCAAGTAGCTGGAACTACAGGTGCGTGCTACCGCACCTGGCTAATTTTTTGATTTTATTGTAGAGATGAGGTCTCACCAAGTTGCCCAGGTGGGTCTCGAACCCGCGGGCTCAGGCAGTCTACTCACCTCAGCCTCCCAAAGAGCGGGATTACAGGCTGAGCCACTGAGCCCGGCTAAGAGCCCTTCTTAATCCTGGCCAAGCTTTCTGACTCCAGGCCTCTGTTTTAATTGCCTTTCTCACCCGCTCAGACTTCTGCTCAGCACTGGCAGGGGTATGTGGTGGCAGGAGGGAACCATCCTTCCTGAGAACTCCCCAGGTCATGCATATACCATCTTTCCCTCAGTAATTACAGGGCACCTACTGCCAGGCTCTGTCTAGGTGTGGGGTGGCTAACAGGTAATGTGAGTGACATAGTCTCTACCCCTTTGGAGCCCATAATTAGGTGAGGGAGACAGACAATTCAACAAATACAGTATAAGGAGGTAAGGGAAACAGGCCTAGGAGTCCCTGGCACAGGGACCAGGGATCTCAGCTCATATGTCACTCAGAGAGGTTTTCTGTGAACCCCTTCGCCAAAAATAATACACACATATACATAGTACAGGTCAACGAGGTCCAGAACTCTATGGTCGAGGGCTGGTCAGAAAGGTGGCTGGGCAAATTCGCTCCATTTTCTACTCTAAATAACTTTAAGGAATGATCAGATTTTACCCACACTGGCTTCTGAGCCCTCCGATGGTGAAATTTTTCTTCTTTGCAGTTGAGTCATCTACCAGCTCTGAGCAGAGATTTGAGATTCCTCTTATTTTTGGAGATGTGAATTAAAGAGTTTTGCCACAATCCAGTATCGTGGACACTGTAGACTATTGGTCACTGCTTCTCTCGTTTATACCCATCACAATTTTTCCTTCTCATTTGGGGCACTGGCAGGAGGGCTTCCCTAAGTGTCTAACAGAGACATTACAAAGTAGCCAATATACAGACAGTCTCATGATGTAATGCAAACTATAAAAAGAAAGAATGTCCCATGCTCTATCTTGTTCTATTAAAACTTACATAAACTATATGGTGAGATTGGGACCACCTAAGCCTTGCTACACTGTGATTTCCTAGCAACTATTTACTACGTCCCTGTGTTCATGAATAAAAGCGAACACACCTGGAACACAGAAGCACAGGTAAATGGCCACAAAAAAACAGAAGCCCTGCCTGTTTTTTTGTTTTATTTTGTTTTTTAAAAAACAAGCCCATCTTTATTGTCTAGAAATATATATTAAAAAACCACACAAAAGCTGCTATTCCCTCATTTCCCTATCTTCTTCCTATTCTTCAACACCTCTGATATAAAGGACGTTGTTACACCTTATTAAAACTTCACCCAGGTGTCCAGACAGCGACCCGTCTATGTATTCTTCTGTATTTGCAAGCTGCATGTTCATGTAGGGTAGCCCTTGTACTCCATCCCCCACTTGAGCTTCACCATCACTGGCTTCCCCGTGAGGCCGCTGAGGAAAGGTTTTGGGTTAAGGGATAAACTCATCCTTGCCATGGGCCTACCGCAGGCCGCTAGCCACTGACTGTGCTGCCACCAGTCTTTCATGACCAGCAGGCCCACGGGTCGGAGCCTCCGGGCAGGCAGAGAAATGCCCTGCCTGCTTTTTAAAGATTGTCCAAGAATCCCTGGGACACGCACAAGTTTTAACTTGTTTACAAATTCATCTGGTAACAGTAACTGACACATATCGAGTACTGTTCTAAGTGCTTTCCAACCCTGTGGGTAGATATTAATATTTCCATTTCATAGATGAAGAAAATGAGACAAGAGAGGTGAAATAACTCACTAAAGGTCATGTCCAGTCACTAAGTGAGAGGCTGGATTTGAATGCTGACCCCTGTGCCCACCATCTTAACCACTCTGCTCACTGCCTCATACAATAACTTTGTTGTTGGAGTTACTGCCCCCCCTCATTCATGACCCCTATATCTTTTAATAGTGCATAATATAGTGTCAGTTATATAGTTAGTTTGTCCAGATTAAGATGATTCACAGACTAAAACTGACTTACCTCCATTGAGTCCAATAATGATTCTCTTGGTCCTGGTGAGTTTTGACTGAAATACCACATTCTTTTCCCAAGGATTGTCATTTTCTCTCAGCTAATTCTTGTTTGTTTGTTTTTGAGTTGGAGTCTCACTCTGTCACCTAGGCTGGAGGGCAGTGGCATGCTGATGGCCACCGCAGCTACGACCTGCTGGGCTCAGGCGATCCTTCTGCCTCAGTTTTTCAAGTAATTGGAACTACAGGCATGGGCTACCACACCTGGCTTATTTTTTGACTTATTGTTGAGATGAGGTAGGTGTCTCACCAAGTTGCCCAGGCTGGTCTTGAATCCCTGAGCTCAGGCAATTCTCTTGTCTCTGCCTCCTAAAATGCTGGGATTACAGGCCTGAGCCACTGCACCCAGTCTATCTAATTCTTAGGTCTCCACATTCTTGTAGATGGTGAAGGATGAAGCAGTGGAGGTTGTAGGAGCTGGATTGTGAAGGATCTCACAAACCATGATAAGAAATATGGATTTCATTCTGAGGTCCACAGGGAGCTCCCAAAGGCCTTTAGACAGTGAAGTTTACTTACATAAATCCCCAGTAACAAAGAATGGGTTGAAGAGGGAAAAACTGGAGGCTGAGAAGCCAATT